CGACCACCAGGGAAGTGCAACGTCACCAGAGGTCACCAAAAAATGCATGAAAAATGGCTGGAATGCGAAACGACGATGGAAAACACGTGAATCGCGGCGGTGAGTGTGAGATAATGAAGATCGGTGCAAAGGGATGACGAACCGTCGTCGGAGATGCTTACCGGAGCTTGATCGGAGAAGATGAAGGGTTTTGGTGGGTGGCAGCCACCAATCTGCGACCATGCACTACATTTTTATACAAAATATGGCAAATTTCCATTTGGTCCCTACATGATTGAAAAGTTACAAAATCAACCCCCAATTTTATGACAATTTGACCCCTAAATGGCATAAATGAGACAACATCAACCCTAGAAAATAAATCACATCCTAATATCAACTTACACAATCTCAAATTTCAATCCAAACATGCCAAATTAGTAAGAAAAACTCAAAATATGATTTTTATACATAAATTCATAATTTCTCTTAATTATCTCAATATGATTTCATTTTAATCACACAGAGAGTCTTTTTATCAACAAAATATAGTCACTTTCATGACTCTAACAAATATAATCTGAATACAAGAAACCTAACCAAATATCCAACATTCGGGCTAATATCCAACATTCGAGCTCATCCAAATAGTCGAGAACTACCGAGAAGATCCATGAGTGTCGATCCTGATCTCCCTACACCGTAACAGACAATTGGGAACTCAGCCGCTCATGGTGGTGTCAATGGAGACTGAAGCAGTGGAAACAAAGCTGATCATGGCAGAGAGGAAGTAACCAACAGCGATATGATGGGAAGAAGGATTGAAAACAACCAATGGACAGCCTAGAATATGAACAGTCACACTCGCCGGAATATGTTAGTTTTTCGGCGGGTCTTCCGGCAAATGGTGGCAGAAATAGGATCCGAAGATACCAATGGAAAGCTCCGGTGATGGGGAGTTCATATCAGGTCCTGGGAAGATGAAAGGTTGCCGAAAATGGGAGAGATCACGGCTAGAAGGTGAAGAGGCGCGACGACGGTGAAGGCAGATTCTGGCCTTTTTTGTGACAGTTGAAGCTTGGAATGGATAGATCCGGCTGTGGGGAAGCTAGATCGACCGCCAGGGAAGTGCAAAGTCACCAGAGGTCACCAAAAAATGCATGAAAAATGGCTAGAATGCGAAACAACGCAGGAAAACATGTGAATCGCAGCGGTGAGTGTGGGATGATGAAGATCGGTGCAAAGGGACGACGAACCGTCGTCGGAGATGCTTGCCGAAGTTTGATCGGAGAAGATGAAGGGTTTTGGTGGGCGGCAGCCACCAATCTACGACCATGCGCTGCATTTTTATACAAAATATGGCAAATTTCCATCTGGTCCCTGCATGATTGAAAGTTACAAAATCAACCCCCAGTTTTATGACAATTTGACCCCTAAATGGCATAAATGAGACAACATCAACCCTAGAAAATAAATCACATCCTAATATCAACTTACACAATCTCAAATTTCAATCCAAACATACCAAATTAGTAAGAAAAACTCAAAATATGATTTTTATATATAAATTCATAATTTCTCTTAATTATCTCAATATGATTTCATTTTAATCACACATAGGGTCTTTTTATCAACAAAATAGAGTCACTTTCATGACTCTAACATGAGCAATTCTAGATCTTCCAAAATGTGTCACATGGCGAACAACCCGCATGAGTATTCATGGGGAAATATTAATACAAATCCCATTTTTTTTAATTAATTAATAATTATATGTGCATCAATAAATACCAATCCAACATATCAAGATAGAGCAATTTGATTGGCTGTCAATCCAATGTGTCGAAATTGAGCAATTCTAGATCTTCCAAAATGTGCCACATGGCGAACAACCTGCATAAGTATTCATGACAAACAACCAGCATGGGTATTCATGAATCTTAGAGTTAAAGATATCTCATTAAACCACACATCCAACGTGGTGGGAGAGAGCTATTCTAGAGCTCCAAATAAACCAATTTTAGAGCTAAAAAAAAAAAAAAAAATGTCCTACGTGTAACTCAAATATGTATGCTTTTACCTTTGGATTTGGAATATCAATTCAGCAATTAATATCTCTCTACAACATCACCAATAAAATTCAACCACATAGCAACCACAAATCCTATATGTCAAAATGGAACAATTTTGTGAGTTCTAAAACGTGTCACATGGTGAACAACCCGCGTGGGTATTCAGCTTTATATATATATAAGAAAAAAAAAAAAAAAAGATTGTCAACTTCGAACAAGGATAACAGGACTAAGTCTCGTCCCATTCTCCAAAAAGAGTAACCCAACATTCAATTGGACTAATTTCTTGTTTGAAATAATTTTTAAACAATTGGTTCAATCTAGTTGACGGTGGGTTGTGCCTTAAAACTAGCCCGACATGGGTTGGCATGACAGGGCCTTAAAAAAAGGCACAAGGCCAACACGACACGGCCCGTTTAAAAAAGTAAAAAAAAAATTAGCCGTTAATAACGGTTACCCCCCTGCACAAGGGGGGTAACAGCTAGTTTAAACTAAAATAATTGTTACCCCCCTTCACACCCCTTACAAAGGGGGGTAACAGAATGGGGGGTAACAATTAGTTTGAACAAAAATAACTGTTACCCCCTTCACAGGGAGGTAACATTTATTTTAAACTAGTCGTTACCCATAGGGATCTTCGAAGTCCATTAAACACTTTACAAGCTCAAAGGACCAAGTCACAATGTTATTATGGTAAGTGGCCCTAAGATTTGAACCCAAGAACTTAAAGAAGCGAGCAAACCTCATTAACCACTAGGGCAACCTCTTATGATTTGTTTTTTTAATTTTCTATCTTCATATATCCTAAGCTTAATATTATGTGTAGACAACTTTGACATTAATATTGTTGTTATACAAAAACGCAACAATTGGAGATACCTAATCGACCACGACGGGATTGGGTAGAATGTGTGCGTGATTAAGAGTAATCAACTTGGAATAAATTAGTGAAAATGTGATAAGAAAAAAGAGACAATTTTTAAAGTGGTTTGACGAGTTAGAATCATTCCTACATCCATCGCTATATTATTGTTTTGTATTTGCTTTACACATTGAGTGATTACAGAGAAAAAAACACGTAAAAGCGAGGTTAAACACTCTCTAAGTGGGTTTCCTGTTCTTGTGTGAATAATCGCTCCTCCAAAAACTGAGGTGGTTTATCCTTTTTATTCACTCTTTCTGACAGTGGTTGTTACAGGGTGGATTACATGCATAATCCCCCGTGATCTAGATCTGAGTCAGACCTCCTTATGCTTAAGACTAAATACTCATGCTTAATACGGATGAACTTGTTGGTGAAGTCATCTGCTATAAGGGTGACACGTGGGGCGAGCGTGATTATCAGATCCTGACATGGTATAGAAGAAAGGTGGCACGAATCAGGTTGTCTAAAAGAACTGCACAATAATTATTATGTACAAACATAAATTAAATAATTTTTTAATTTTAATGTCCATAGTAATCTTTGAGATCTCTTTCACAGCAATTACCATAAAAATTTTAGTAATTTAACAAATAAATTGTCAAACTCTTTTGACTATCTAATAATAATCGTAATATAAACTCTTCTAGATACATCATAAAATTAAAAAATAGTTGGTCACAACTAAAAAGTTAGAAATAACCTAATTTGTAGGTTTGTAGAAATTGGTTTGATTGATAATTAATTAAACATAGAAAATATTAAAGAGCAGCCAAGAAGGTTTTAGAATTTAGAGCTTTAAGTTTAAGAAAGTTAGGAAAACGTGGCACCAACCTGGCAGCCTTAACTATATTATTAAGAAAAGAATCTCTAATGGGATCTTAATTATCAACCTTACTAGCCATTAAGTTTGACTTAGACCAAGTTGTTTATACATCCCTGTCACGTCATTAGAATCTAATTCATATTCTTAATTAATTAAATAAACAAACAAAGGAAAAAAAAGTATTTTCATCCTGAATTATAAAGACTTTGACTTAATTAAATCTTTATGTATACTAAACTAATTAAGAAATACTAAGCTGGCGTCTACATCAAAGCGCCTACATCAAAGAATAAATATAAAACTCATGTTGACGTGAATCAACTCAATTCTATGGACACAAAAATTATTTATTTGTTTTTAAACATAGAATCAAAGCCCAACAGACGCAATTAGGAAAAAAGTTGTTTGATTAAATATTTAAATATTTAATAAATAAATAGCAAAATATTTCAAGATTTTGTTTGAAGGAACAGAAGTCTTGATTTTGCCTCTAACTTTGGAAGGTGATGCATGAGACACCAAAATGTGACATGAGCAAGCATGGTTGAGTTAGATCTATATTTGATTTATTATTATTACCCTATCCTATTCCACTATCATATTTTAAAAATACAAAAATGTATTTGCTTTAACATTCTTAAAATTTTATTCTACTTTAGTTAACTCTGAAAAGATTAATTTATCTTTCCCGTAAAGATAATCCAACTTTACTTTTTTTTTTAAATACTATTTTAAAAATCCTATATACGTTTCGACTTTGATTTTTAATTACCCCAATACTAAGGGTTGTTTTCTTGGATTGCTTGCCGACGACTAGTTAATTGTATGGCCATTGTCAAATAAAAAACTTTATGATTACGTATTTGGTATAATCAATGTTTGAAAAATTCATTACATTTTAATTTTAATAATAACTTAAAGACAAGTTATAAATGATTGATATTAAAGCCAAATAAATTTGACTGGGCTAGCTGATTCATCCTTTCTTGTTGAACAAGGCCCATTTAAAATGATCGGCCCAACACCCAAATAGTTGGTAATCTCTCAACTTTGATTACAGTGGCTTTATTTATTGTGCTCTAAAGAAAATTTTATTAATTTTAATATTCATTGCAATATAATTATGATTTATAATATCATATAGTCATAGAGACAAATATGATTGTTAAAAATTAGTAGATCTAAAACTTTTTACTGCACGCAAATTAGAAACTGGAAGATGGCAAGCTAGTGTTGGAGAGAAAATGGGTGAACAGAGAAAGTGACCAATCTCGTGCCGACAATACAGCTTGGTGCCCTCCACCGCGTATGGTGGTCAAGATGAGTCCTTTATCATAAGTCTCCACCCACCCAGCTACTTGACGCTTGTAAAACCACGGTCTCCATTCTTCCATAACTGGTAACCCTAATTTGTTTACACTATATCTTGTAGATGTCACCGGTACTCTTGCATCCGCGTCACCACTGTAGTATTAATAATTTATTAATTTTATGATAAACCAATCGACAAGGTTGAATAATTACTTAAAAAAAAAATTACTATAAGAGTATTAATGTTTGAAAATGTGGTACCTATAGGTCCAGATGCGCATTCCTGCGTCTAAGAGCTTCGAAATGGTCGACAACACAGTCGTCGGAGAGTCAATCCATTTGGTAAGCTGAGAACTGAATAATTACATGAAAAACAATATGAGAAAAATTAAAAAAAATTGATACCATTTGAGTCTCGTATTTATCTTACAAACTAAATGTACCTGCATAAAGTGTAAGGATAGGGCAAATTGGTCACGTTGGCATGAAGTGCCCTTTGAACCTCTTTTTGGTTGAAATACTTTCTTACATAATTGTTTACACATGGATCAAACGTTGATGGTATCTCAAATTGATAGTCCTAAAATCAAAATATTAAATTAAGTTAAACATGTTTATATATATATATTATACTGCAAATTTATGATTCTCTTAAAGTGTAATTCACTTAATTACTTCAAGGTTTGAAGAATTGGTGGTGGCAGAAAAGTTAAGGACGCAAACAGGAGAGTATATGTTGAATATATCAATGCCGGAAAAAGCATCGAAGAAAGCTTTGAGTTGATCGTTGCATCGACTACTTGTATGAGGAAGCTTAAAATCTTCACAGTCTGCCTTTAAGCTTTGGTAGAGTTTGTCTGATATGATTCCGTGACTCCATGCATAATCCACAATCCCAAGGGTATCTGTTTGATCGTTAATCACAGCATTTCCCATCTGATTTTTTTTTTTCAATCAACATTAAATTTCAATTATTAGCAATTTATGTATAAATTAACAAATTTATGTGGAGTGTAGAAAAAAAATTTAAGTTGGTTGAAGAGAAGATAAATGTTAATAATGTAATAATTAGGTAACAGAAGTAGTTTCTTTCAGGGCGAGCCCACCCTCAAATTTAAAAAAAAAAAAAAATATTAATATGTACAATTTTTAGATTTTGACCCAACCTAACAGAAATATTAATGGACAAAAATATTAATGTGCAATTAATTTTTATTTTGGCTCACCCTAACAGAAATTTATGGATCCACCCTTTGTTTTTTTGTGTATAGATAATAGTAAGGGTTACTTACCATGAATCCTTTGAGATTGATAAACGAGTCTTGGGTAGCTCCTTTGTTTGTTTCAAAAATAAGATCAGCAAGTTGAGGAGCATAGTGTCCTAAATAATATAGAGAATGAAAGCAAAAATTATTTCTACATGATCAAGATATTATAAACGAAATTAACATATAATTTTCTTTTTTATTTTTATCATTATATATTCCAAAAACAAAGGAGTATTACACATGGGCTATAACAATTTATATGAAAAAAAAAAACAAATTTAGTAATATTATTATTTCAAAAATATCTTGTGATAATGAAAATATAAATAATACGAAAAAGATTAATGTGAATAAAACCATACCACCATAACTCTCTCCGATGATATAAAAATCATTGGATTTGAAGTCGGGAAACCTTTTGAACCATCCAAGTAAAAATGCAAGAGTGTCATTGGCTACAACTTGATCACCGATCTCAAGTAAATCATTAGAGTTGTTGGTGTATGAAAAGCCTACGCTCACCGGTGACTCCAGGAATAGAAGATTTGCAACTAATTCAATTTTAACAATAAGAAGCGAAGGTTAGAATATGAAAAAAAAAAAAAAAAACAAAAAAAAAGGTAATGATAAATATAGAGGAAGATGGCAAATTCGAGATCGTCATTACCTTGATTCCAAGAGTAATTATTGAATGTGAGTCGATTTATAAAATAGCTTGGCCTTCGTACCAAAAATGGTCCGATTTCTTGTGCAGCTCCAAAGGCCACTGATGAGCAGCCAGGTCCCCCATTTAGCCAAATTACAAGAGGCTTAAGAGCAGGTTCAGTTTGAGCTTCAAAGAACCAGTAGAACATTGCCTTTTCATTTGGAGTTTGAAGTTGAATATAGCCAGAATAGTGCTCAAATCTCCCCGGTGGTTGTCCCGGCAAGTTTGTGACTTTGTCGGCGGCCCTTTGTTGAGCTTCTTCATCGGCAGCCATGGTGGAAGCCACCAAAGTGGTTATTAGAAGGCAAAGTAGCAAATGCCTCTCCATTGCTTCTTACACTTAAGTGATGATGTTTTAGATGCCCTACATGAGAGTAAAGAGTGCATTTATATAGAGAAGAAAGGAGATTACACTGCCCTCTAATTATGGAAGAGATTTGGTTAGGGCAGGATAAAATATAAAAAGTGGTTTTAACTTATTCTTATACTAGAAAATTCTACCCATCTTATTCTTTTAATAGAATATATAGGAATAAGGTAGGTTTTAAGGTACAGCTCTTTCCTTGTAGAGTTAACGCACCTTTTCTTGGGATTCTTTTACATCTCACATGAATCACAGTGAAAGATACTTGATTTTAGGTTGGGCTTACTAGAACTTGTGGTGTTAGGTTGGAAACTTTATAACTCCAATTATATTTTTAATTTAGGAATTAAAATAGAGTTACACAAGAAATTAACTAATATGAACATATTTAATTAAAACTCCGACGAACAAGTTTATTATCTATTTATCTCTTAAGTACAATGAGCCTTGATCTATTAATTCTAGGCTATTCCACTAAAAACCCAAAATTGAACTCTTTAATTTAATACTCTATCAAGAAAGCTTTGTTAAATCAATTTGATTAATTGTACATTAAAATCCTATCTATACGGCAATTAATAGCATGTGTGTCCTCATTGAATATCAATAGTTGAAGTTGGGAGAATTCACCGTTTACCCTTTCATTTACATCTTAATCTGTTGAGACCATTTTTCATCTAATGGACAATTAAGATTGTCACAGTTCATACAAATATAAACACAATCTCAGTTTGATGAATATAATCATCTAATACTTGGCCAAAATTATTATCCGAAAGTCCTTAAAAAATCCTCAAGGTGATATTTTATCTCACTTAGGTGTCATGAATTCAACATTTTTGGATTAGAGTTCTTAACGCTTATGAGTACATTCTTCCAACTAATCAAGGTATGGACCATATAGATCTGGTCTCACCTTTTATTCTAATCAAATAACTTTTATTCTAATCAAATAAAACATACTTTAAACAAGAGTTACTCTATCTACTTAGGATTTAGATAGACACGTCCTTAATTGCTAGAGTGTGAAATTTATGTTTAGTTGTAGTATTTATACTAAACATAAAATTCACATGGTCTATTCAATACATTCTAGATGCACAAGTATCTTTGGCCTAAAGCCTTCCACTTCAATAACTCGAGACTCGTCATTCCCCATTAAGGCATACAACACAATAACCTTTAACTAAATAAAGTGTCCAACTTTATTTAAGGTTGTGAACAAGTTTTGGACTTATAAAAAAATATATCTCCTATATATGAACACTTCATATAAATAGTTCTTCACAACGATCGAAGTTTAGGAGCCTTACACATTATGATGATTAAGTTATCAAACGATTTAATACATTGTATGATTTATCATGAATAAAAAACATGTTTGTCATTAAAAAAAAAAAAAAAAAAAAAAAATCTTGCATGTAGGACATATTCCAAAAACCTTTGAAATCAAGCATATTAAGATTAATTTTGGTCGTTCAAATATAACTTACAAATTTATGCTAATTCGTACGTAAAAGATGAGATATTAATGAACATACTCTTAACTTTTTATTATTTCTTATTTTTTCTAATTTCAGCATTGGATTGAATTAAAAAAATGGGTATAAGCCCATTGGCCGTAAAACCTAAAGAAGATCATACAATCCAATAAGAATTGTAAACATCGATTTGATACTATTGAACTTCTCGGGAATGCTTGTAAGTTGTAAGATTTCGGACCCATAAAGAGATCTTCCCGCTGGCTGAGGATCCACCACTTCGAGCATTGCTTCAAGCTCGTCCACCATTGACCTCTTTGCAGCTCGCACCATCAGATCAGCTCCCTAACATTGCGAAGAATCAGAATATCAGATGGAAAAGCAATATAGACTAATGCTTCATTTCAATAATGCAGAAAACAGTGTTAAAAACCACACCTGCAATAGGCAAATGATATGCCACTAGGATTGTGTTTGATAGTTAGGGTTAGTCTAGGTTTTACTTCTCCAGATTGAAATAAACTGAACCATGTTATATTTGGCATAACATGGAACTGGATAAAAACGTATATATCAAAAAATTAATTAAAAATCTTTAAAACTAATTTAATATTTTATTTTTCAATTATTAAAATTCTCTGTAACATTCTATTTATAATGTGAGTAAATAATTTCTCAGTTATAATTATATATTAAATTAAATTAACATTACATAGTTAACAATATTTATATTTATGTTATGACTTAAAATTGAAAATTCTACTTAAGAATATTAATAAAATAAAGTAATGAATATATAATTTTATTCAAATAATAATAATAATTCTATTCTATTGGTATTAATCATCGCAATTCTATCATCTTACTTTTAATAATAATAATCTTAAGTAATGTATACTAACAATTATTATATTCTTTAACAAACTTAAATGGAAAATATATTAATTAACAATTTATCATTTTAGATCATTATTTCCATCGCACGAATAAAAATTTTAGTATTATTGAATATAGTATTTCTATTTTTGGATAGTAAAGTTAAATTAAGTATACAAAATTTATTAAAAAATTTCTACTAATATTATTCTTTTAAATATATAAATTATTTAAGAATAGATCATTATATAAGAACAATATGATATTATTAATAACATTTTAGCAATAAAATAAAACATTAACATTAATTTACTTAATATACATTACATAAAATGTAAAAGGAAAAAAAAAAAGACTGTCAACTTCCAACAAGGAGAACGGGACTAAGTCTCGTCCCATTCCCCTAAAAGAGTAACCCAACATGCGATTGGACTAATTTATTGTTTGACATATTTTTTAAACAATCAATAATACTAAACTTACCGATTTTTCCCTACCGATTTTCTATCCAGACTGACGTGGCATGAAATTATTGAGGCAGATTTGATGTGGATTGATGGGGCAGATGAGAGGCACATGCCACGTCAGTCTGGATAGAAAATCAGTAGGGAAAAGTCGGTAAGTGTAGTATTACTGTTAAACAATTGATTCAATCCGCCTTACAAGTAGCCCAACATGGGTTGACATGATACGAAAATTTTTGTATCGTGCCAGGGCCTTAAAAAAAAGACGCAAGGCCGACACGACACGACACAGCCCGCTAAAAAAAGTACAAAAAAAGTTAGTCATTAATCGTTAATAACTGTTAAATTTCTTTTATTTTTTCACACTACAATTCTAGTCTTCATTAAACAGGCAAGTTGTCCTGCATGCACAGGCCACAACACGGCCCATGGCACGACATACCTTGCATTTTTAGGCACGACACGACATCACCCACTGTCAACTCTAATCCAACCCTGTGTCCCAACTAGAGTTGACAGTGGGCCGTACCGTGTCGTGTCTAGGCCTGTCATGTCATTGGTCATGCATGCCAAGATCCACAAAAATTTGTGCCATGGGTCGTGCGATGCCAAGACCCACAGAAATTCATGCCTTGTCATGTCTTGCTAGCCCGCCAAATCTAAAGGCCCACAACACGACTCGATATATAGCATGTTGTGTTGTGGGCCTAGCACACAGGCCAGCCCACACACTTAATGAAGACTGGAATTGAAGTATGAATAAATGGGAAATAAAAAAAAAAAAAATGAAATACCCACTACCCCCCTTGCGTAAGAGTAATGCTATGTGCACTAACTAATTAGTACTAATCCAAGTACAAACATTAAAAATTTGAAATTTTTTTTTTAAGTTTTTTGGAAAATTTCAAATTTTCAATATTAGTACTTGGATTAGTACAAATGGTTAGTGCACATAGTATTATTCCTTGCGTAATGACTAATTTAAAATAAGCGTTACCCCTTATGAAGGTAAGGGTTATTTAAAAATAATTGTTACTCCCTTAAAATTTAAACTAACCATTACCCCCCTGTGTAGGGGGGTAACGGTTATTTAAAACCGTCGTTACCCCACTATTTTAAATAATATTCGTTATTAACGATTAATTTTTTTTATATGTACTTTTTTTAGCAAGTCGTGCCGTGCCGGCCCACGTGCCTTTTTTTTATGGCCCGCATTATTGTGGGCTTTGGCACGAACCCATGCCGGGCTACTTTTGAAGTGGGTCATGCCAGCACATGTTTTAAGGTGGGTAGACAAGAAATAAGCCTAGTCCTGTCCAATCCGGACTCCCAAGTCCCAAACATACCCAGAGTTTTAGTGCTAAAAGCCACTGCCTATAAATCTAGCAACCATATCAAAGTGTTGTGCTTAAGAAACTTCTAATTCAAGTTTTGAGTCCACCCCCATTGACACTTTATTGAGAAAAAAAAACATGTTAATAAGGGGTATGAGAGTTGGCAACCTTCAGCACTGTAGGAAAGGGTGAAAGATACAAGCGAAAGGCAGACCAACCACATATGCAAAGTTCAACACTACTGAATGCATTTTTAGTGCACTTATTTCCTATTATACAAAGGAAAATGGGCAAGACAAACTAATTCAGTGACAGATTCCTGTATCATCCCTGAATTGTCAGCATAAGCTACATGCTTACACATATACCAAATGAGAGTAAATACACCATTTTAGTTGGCTAATTAACTTAAAATAAACTACCTAATATATACAAATAATTAATTTTCCAAGAACACACATTAATCAAACTCAAATAAAAACATCTCATATAGAAGCTTGCTTCTAGATAAGATTGTCAAAATCAAAAAAAAAAAAAAAAAAAAAGAAGGAACTATGGTTAACAACATTAAGAATTACCAGAGCAACAACCGTTATTGCAGACCATATACCCAACTATGTATGCATGAAAGGTAAATCACCAAATAGAAGTAAAAAAGTAAAGCAGCTTTCTGAAATACAAGTAAACTTACCTCAATGGCATCAACAGTGAGGAGTAGGACCATAATTTTCTCTGAGAACCTTTGTCGCTCTTCTGCATCACGAGCCACTTGACGACGGTAGGAGAAGTTGTTGAACAATGCTCTAATC